CTAACTACGTGCAATTCCAATGAGGTTGGTTTTTAATTATGAGGGCTCAAAGCTGTACAATTAAAGACCCAGCAAGCTTGAAACCACTTTTGCCACCTTTTTCCCAAAATGGAAGCTTGAAATTCCTCACACTCTAAAGCAAGTCGCTATGACCTCGCAGACTCTGAGGAGCCCAATTAAGGAGCTTGAATTTCAAGACGCCCTTTTCTAGCTTGTCTCTAGCTTTGCTGCTTTTCTCTTTTGTATGCTGGTGCCAAAATAAATGCGTGGCTACATCCTGTCAGATCAGATCAGATCTCATCCATCTATATCCAATGCTTCAATATTATTCTTCTTCCTTACATTTTAGCTACTTTTTACTATTGATAAAAGTTCCCTAACAGACTACCCCACTTACCCCACCCCCTTCAAAGTCCCTACATACACACCCAGATTATTGTTGATGTTCTTTTCAATATTATTTATACTGCTTGTTTGAATCGAACTAGTTAAAATATATATATATATCCCCATTTTGGATGACCAGTTTTCCAAAAAGAAGATTCAACTCATTTGTTTGTAGCTTTCTTTGCCTGGATATTCCTTTTACAGAAGACAAAATGCTCACATGAGGTTAACTTTCATCTAGCATTGCTTGTAACGGAATGCGTTACTTTCTGAATTGTCAATTAATTTTGGAGTGGAATTTTAACTTCCTTCATATAGACTAAGTTCGTGTGTAAATATTGGATCATATTTAATTAACTAGGTAGATTTATCCTTGTTCGTGATATACATGTGTGATTCACCCTATGGAAAATGGTACTCGTAAAGTCTTTTAAGTGCTTGCTGCAATTTGAAAACAATATTAATATATTGCACATGCATAACTGGAGTCAAGTTTTAGGCCAAAAACTTAACTTTAGGAATGAATGATAAACGCTTGTTTGGTTTGGTTGGAGTATATTAGGTAGGACAAAATCACTTTTAGGGAGAATCATCTCCCATGTGCTTCTTCGTATAATCATTTTAAGTGATTTTAAGTGATTTTGGGGAGAAGCACTGCTCATCTGCTTCTCCATAAAATCATTTAAAACCGCCTAAAGTGGTTATATAAAGAAGTTATTCTCCATAGAAGTGATTTTTGGCATATCTGGAATCACTCCCAAACGAGTTCTTATTCTAAAAAGTAATTAATTATTTCAAGACCTATTATTACATTGATAAACGTTGGGCCCTTTTTTCTTTATTTTAAAACCCTTGAAATTTAATTCTAATTTATTGTATATCCATACATATTGAACGTAAAACCATAGAAAATTGTAACGTTACATCATAGGCTTCTGGTAACACAAGTTAAAACCCTAGAATGATTGCGTTATGCATGCGCATTTATATATAGAGCAGCAAGAATTATAGCGTATATAGATGCAACGAAAGCGACCTGGTGTATTGCACTTGAAAACAAGAGGATGACATAAGAGACTTGTCCTACCGTCTGATCCACGTTAGAGGCTGATGCAATACCTGCATGGTGTTTCAACTCTATTCACTCTCCGTATTAGCTGTAAGTTTTTAATTTTTTTAATTTTTTTTTTTCATTATCAAATTTGGTCAATGTTCTGGTTCTATATGTGCAATCTCTCTCTCAAGAGAAAAAAGAAAATGTACGCATTACTGGAGAAATTTGTGAGTGTGACACATTGACACGTGGTGTTATTAATTTACTATGATGAATTTAGTGTATAATGTTAATAAATAGATATATGTGTTATAACAATACTCTAGTGGTATCACCAAGTGATGTGACCGTCACATCGAAAAAGTACGTGTATTCACTTCTCCTATTGCTTGCAAAGAAGGAATTATTGTGTGATACTAGAACACCATCACAAAGTACATTCCGTTTATTTTATTTATTTACATTTTTTAAAAAGAACCCAAAAGATTGCAGTAGTGAGGTACAGAAAAATTCAAAAATCTTTTTATCATGGATATCAATTAAAAGTTGTGGAAGACATGGGATTTCCACAAAATCTCCACGGTGAGACAAAATTAGTTTAAAATAGATTTAACGCTGACAAAGGTTAAAGCACTTAAATAAAATAAAAAACGAAAAAGTTTAACTCCTTAAAATTGAGGAGGAGCTCTTTCTTACAACCAATGTGGTTTTGACACATGTTAAAAAAATTTAATATTCTTTTTTTGTTGTTAAATCTTTGTCAATGTTGCTGGAATTTGACAACGGTCAAAACCCCATTGGTTTTAAGGAGGAACTCCTCCTTGATTTTAAGGAGCCAAGCCTTGCTCAATAAATAAAAAGTTACAAATGCTTAATATAACGAAAAGAAAAATACTTTCCTCCTTACCATGTAAGTAGGAGCTCCTACATTCCTCACAATAGCAAAGTGACATATGTGTAGAATTTTTTATTTATTATTTATTTTTGATGAATTATTTTTGCATATGTGTCAAGCTGCGATTTGCAAGGAGTATCTCCTTACACATAAGGAGGCAAACAATATCCTAACATAAAATGCTGAATTGCTAAATACACACACTTTATTTAGCAGTGTTGATAAACTATATATATACATTATCAATCTAATGAATGACTTATTTTGATTGACGTTGGTCGTTTAAGAGGTTAGCCATGGCGAGAAAAATCCTAGCTGCTAAGAGAGAGAGAAAAAGAAAAAGAGAGAAAGCTTCATAATCCGGGGGTTTTCCCCTGAATTTTGTCCGTTCTTCTATGTTTTTCTCTTTTGGTGGACCTATGTCAATTTATGGTAGATCCACTGCTCATTAGTGCATTGAGGCCCTAGAGTAATTAGGTGACATTCTCTATGTCATGTCCCAAAGGGGGATTAGTGGCGGTTAGTTTTCCCTTCGTCGGCATTGCTTTAACTTTTTTATTTTGGATTAGTTTGTTCAATAAAGTCCAGAAACTCTATGAGTTTTCTATATTTTTTTTCTCTCGTGATTCCAGAAACTTAGTTGAGTTTGCTGGGTGTTCTTAGGCTTTTCAGCAGAGTCATGTCGTTTAGCGACTAGTTTTTTTCATTGTTGTCATTACACTAGATTCGGAGAAATTATGGTGATTGAAAGGAGTTATAGAGAGTCATTTCAAGAATAATTCTCTCTAGATTGTTTCAGCTTATTGGTTGGCTCAGGGTACTGGCCTCTATAACTAGGGAAGTTTAACCTATATCTAACATATTGTTTTTGGGATCAAGGGTGGAGCCACAAAGAGACCAGTGTGGTCCTGAACCCCCATCATTTTTATATTAGAAAATATTATATATTAATATCTTTTATGATACTTCTAATATTTCTTCAAGTTTACATCTTTTTTCATGTTTTAGATCAATTTTCTAAAAATTTATTATACATAGTATTATTTTTTAAACAAGTCCTTCAAATCTAAGAGTCATTTTCACCAATTTCTCTAGATTTGTGACTATTTATTCTCTTATTCTCCATATATTATATTATCAAGTTTCAAATATTTTTTTGGCCAAATTATCAAATTTCAATTGGGTTGACTCACTTGATTAAGATTGTTAATTTTTCTCTTATTTTTTTTTATTGTTTTCTCTTTACCTATGGTTTGTTAGGGTTTGGGAAAATTTGAATTATTCTCTATTGAGTTCAATGGATCTTTCAACTAATTTGTGGATTACCAAAAGAAAAAAAAAGTGTAAAGATTTCATTACATATGTATTATATATGATGTTTTGGTATTTTCGGTTACTTTGGAATGTATTGTGCGTTTGAATTTTTTATTATAAATATTTTGTAAGAGGCCTCCTTACACATGAAATCCTGACTCCATCATTGATTGGGATAGCTTTTTATCAAACAAAAAAAAAAAAAAAAAAAAAAAAAAAAAAAAAAAAAAAAAGGGAGGTAGGGATTAACTAAAAACTAGGATTTAAAAATCATTTTAATAAATCTCCAGGTTATTTTCCCTTTTAAAAGCTAGCTATATAGCTAATTAATAAAGATAACTGGATTTATTATTAAAACCTGCATTAATTCATGGAAATGGTTTGATGTTTCTTTTTGGGAGATGTTGTGGTCTAAATAAATAAATAAAAGCTTTTTTTGAATACACGAGATAGTCTAAACTACAAGAGGAGGAGAAATTTCTCACACATAACCAAAAAATCATGAAAGTTCGAACTTGAAACAACAGGTTTGCAAGTCAACATCATTTTTTACCTTGACAACAATGAAGCTTTTAATTGCGTACGTGGGTTGTGTTGTGTGTGTGGGGAGACTAAAAATCAACCAAATCAAACATCACTCTCCCACACGAAAAGCAAAAGAAGTCCAAAATTGACTGATAAAGAGCTGTGAAAGTAATTTTATCTCAACAAGAGAGAATGATGAAGCATAAAGAAGCAGCAGCGCCAGGATTTCAGTGCTTGTACTGGTCAGCGGCCAGCCCAGCCATATATATGTAAAAATATAAAATAAATATATTGGGAGAAAACCCTAGCAATGTAGCAAAAGCCTGCAAGCTCTCAGTAGGTGCAATCCTTGACCCTAGACAAGTATGCCAGAAAAAAGATAAATAAGATTTCAACCCTTTGATCTCCCATCGTGGGCCCCACCTGACACCCAATATCTTCTCCTTTTATTTCATCAACTCATCTTTTTAGTGTACTTTGTAATTGCATCATGCATGCTTTCCCTCAGCTCAGCTCCCTTCACTAAAATTCTGCTCCAATTCTCTCTCTCTCATAAACCTTGTTTTTTTGTGAGTCTTGGATCAGTCTTTCTAAAGCTGCAAACTAAAGAAGCTAGAGCTAGAGGGTTTTTAATTTTTTTTTTTGTTCTTCATTCTTTGTTTTTACCAAACTCATACTAATCTGATCGAAGTGCTTTTGGGTGATCTTTGGTGTGATAATTGATCATACACTCCACTTGATCAATCGATAGATCGAATTCGCCTTCCCAGTTGTTATATGTTCTAAATCAGAAGATCATCACTTGGAAAAAGCCCACAGAAAAACATGGAGATTAATATTGATTACACAAGTAAGCTGGCAATAAACTCCTCTGGAGTGGATCTGGATGATGATCATGCTAGTATGGAAGATCCCATCCTCCATCAGATTTCCTCCTACGAATATTCTTCTCTTTGGCCAAACTTGCCTCTCCCTCATCATCCACTACATCAAATACCATCTTCATCCACTGCTCCTCCTCCTCCTCCTCCTCCTCCTCCTCATCATCATCATCATCAATCAATCGCTGATCATCATCATCATGATCATCAAATGCTACTACTAGCTGGCGGGAATAATAACAACATTTTTGTGGAATTAAATGAGCACGAAGATGATGAAGAGGCAGGTGATGGTGGTGGTGGTGAGGAGGAGCTTGGAGCTATGAAGGAAATGATGTACAAGATCGCAGCTATGCAACCGGTGGACATCGATCCAGCCACAATCCGGAGGCCCAAACGGAGAAACGTGCGAATCAGCGACGACCCGCAAAGCGTGGCGGCCCGTCACCGGCGGGAGAGGATAAGCGAGAAAATCCGCATCCTCCAAAGACTTGTTCCGGGGGGAACTAAAATGGACACAGCTTCCATGTTAGACGAAGCCATTCGCTACGTCAAGTTCTTGAAGAGGCAAATCCGGCTACTTCAATCATCTTCATCCTCATCAGCGTCGTCAAATAATAATCATCAGCTTCATGATCATGATCCTCAATCAGCAGCAGCTCATGATGATCATGATCATGGTCAATGCAATATTAATATTATTAATAATATTAATGGATCATCATCAGTTGGTGCCAGAGGCGCAGGGTTGCCTTTGGATTGGCCGCGGCATAATATTAATGTGAATCATATTAACACAGCACAAAAACCCAACAATCATCATGCCGCAGCAGCCGCCGCCGACGCCTCCACCACCACCTCCTCCGCTAGAAACCCTCGTCACTAGACAACGGGGCGGGTCGATCCACGCAGCTGCCTACAATTAATTACTAGTACTACGTAATCCTGCTGCTGCTGTTCTGTGCTGAGTGATGATTAGATATATATTAGTTAATTTTATATATAATTGTGATTGTGTGCTAATTAATTAGTTAAGTAGATGTGGAAGGGAAGATGTCAGTGTCTCTCTCTCTCTCTCTCTCTCTCTCCTCTCTCTCTCTCTCTCTCTCTCCTCTCTCCTCTCTCTCTCTCTCGGGTCATGTATTATGTATATTGTGTGGGAGGTAGCTATAGCTTGATAGCTTGATAGCTTGATAGCTTGATAGCTTGCTAGCTAGCAAAAGGTTTGTTAGGATTTTGTTGACTAAGGGGCTGAAGAATAATCATAACGGTTTGCTTGCCTTACGTACTAGTACTACCATACCATGATACCATACCATATATCAAATATAAAACATATATTATAAATAACACTCTCCCTGGAATAAAACAGTGACGCAATTAGTACCTATTGAATATCAATATATATATATATATAGTATGTGAGATGTAATTTTGTGTATGCATGTATGATCATGTAGTACATTCGTTTCCTATTTATGTTCACTACTAGAAAAAAGGATCAAGGCCACGGTTTGCCTAGCCACGACAAACCAGCAGTGGCCATTGATGCAGTTATTGTGCATTAAACGTTTTTGACACCTTCATTCAACACAACACTTAATCCCAATTTAACAATGTTATATGTTTTCTTTCTTTGTTGCATCTTCTTCTATGTTCGTTCTCTTCGTCGTCATTATTCTTCTAAGAAAAATTCATTGGTTGCAAAGTAATTATTCTCGCCTTTCGCTAATTCTCCCTCTCAATAGACAGAATAAACGAGCCTTGAATGTTGATATAAATAGATCACTAACCACTGCTTCATCTCCATTATAATGTACTATAATTTCTGCCAATGCGAGGAACTAACATTCTTGGGGCAGTGGAGGATTTAGTAAGGAAGTATGTAGAAGAGCATGTCTTAGGATATTGGTGATTATTCATAGTTACCCTTTAGGTTTGAAGTGGTAGAAGGGTTTTGTTACTTTTGTAATGTTGCATCCCTTAGATTGTATTGCTATATATGCAAATGTTGGGTTGTAACTAATACGTAGATAAGAATGTTGAATTTGAACTTTAAACTTGGTTTGATGGTACTTTGAAGTTAATGATCTTGGGTTTGTTACTATATTAGTTATTGAGCTTTTAAGCTTGATGGCATGTTGAGTTCAATTTTAGTATATTTGATGTGCTGGAAAATGGAAAAGATTAGTAGGTTATGGAATTTTGTTGTTATAACTCAACTTTGAAGCATGTTAAATTCAATTCGAGGATTGTGTTGGGAAACGAAAAACATTAGCAGGTTATACAATGTTATTGTTGTAATTGAGCTAACAAAATTCAAAAGGGAAAACAATATGGGTTGGGCCCAAATCACCGATTCAAACCGAACCAAACTGTCCATTATTTGGTTACCTTCGTAACTTTTGTTAAAACTAAATCGAACCAAATGTGGGAGGAGAAAAAAATGAGTCAGACATATTTCTGATTTTTTTTTCTTTTAGTGGTAGTCAAGCGACATTATCAATTTTTTATTTATTAAGGGGCATTTTGGTTGATGAGGAAGGTTCACAGCGTTGGGAAGTAGTTGCAGCCCTGCTTGGATCACCAATCACCAAACCAGCATGACTAAACTCTAAAAGCTCACAAAAAAGCAGGGTCCCTAAAACTGTGTGACAAAAGATGACAAGCGCCCATTAAACCAATGTAATGTGAGTCTCCCCAACATGTAAATCAACTCCTTAATCCCTTCCAAACTAAGGAAAAAAAAACCCTATGATGATAGACACGTCGAATTTTAGTATCTCTACAAAACAAATTGAACACAACCAAAATTCTTACATCATTCAAAATCAGACTCTGGATCTACATCCACAATATCAGGAAATGAACCCGCATCTGAATCGTTGCCCGTTTCAAATGCAACTCCCATGCTCTTCTCAGGATTTGAAGTAGTAGCGTAATTGTCTCTGCCAAGAGACTCATTGCCTTTAGCCACCAGAACATCCACCGCATTGCTATCTGCTTGATCTGATGGGCCACTTTCCAAATCAACCCTCCCAAACACTTCTTCAGTAATAGTAGTTCCAGCAACTGAAACAATATTTGGAGACACGATATCCTGATATTGAACTATCGATTCTTGCAATTGGTGGGATTCAACCATATTTTCATCCCCATTGCCTCTCATCTCCACATCCTCAATGGTTGCTGTGAGCTCCTGTGCACTTCCTGCTAGAGTCTCTTTACTAAATGAACCATCTACAGAAAGCGTTTTATCCCGATGAACTGTTGTAGTTTTCATGTGAACTAAAATAGATGAGAAGTACAAGTACAAGGAAAAAAAAAAAAAAAAAAAAAAAAAAAAAAAAAAAAAAAAAAAAAAAAAATCGAAGAAAAAAATTTGAGATAGTTATATTAAATTTTAGAAAAAATGTCTGTCTCTCTTTCAGAATGATGTCCCGTGCCTGTCTTTGAATTTTAATTTGTAGATTCAGGCCAAAATCAGTCTCTTACTCCTTGGTAGTTTTCCCGTAGGAGTAGTCAAGTGTTATTAAAGAGGTGTAATTCCTTCCTGCACATCAGTAATTAGGCTCTAATACGGGTGAAGAGTCCACCATCATTTCTAGCACATCAGGACATGTAATCATCCCATACATGTTTATTTGTTGCTTTTGATATGTCGACAAGATAATCAAAATGAAAAGAGAAAGATTCCACATATTCATGAAGGAATTACCTCTACGGAAAATATCAAGACCCTCAGCTAAATAAGGGGAGAAAGGAAATATGCCAAAAGTGCACGTAGTGCAGCAAGCTGCATATCACCCCAAATATCAGCTGGTAAATGTTTCTGTTCTCACCAGCCCATGCCCCTTTCTGAGAATTTGTAGCTATGTTTATCAGAAGAAGATGAACATCTGATCGCCATCCTTCAGATTTCAATGCGTCACCCTGTGAAAAAAAAAAACTATATATATATATATATAATATCTTGTCACTCATTAGTAATGCTTTGATGTCAGAAAAAAATTATCCACAAAGATTTTAAGTTCTACCTACATAAGTAGATTGTTGCTTTAAAAAGTTGGAAATTTTCAGGTAAAATTTCACCTTCTAAAGCAACAAGACTTTATTTATGCGAGAGAGAGAGAGAGAGAGAGAGAGAGAGAGAGCTTTAAATAAAAATATTCTTATTTCTTACTTATATCCAGAAAAATATTAATGACAGAGTGCATACTTGGATGTAGGCCTGGGCACGGATCGGTTCGGAATGGTAGAAGGCTCTTCCGTTAACGAAACCAAAGATTTCGGTAGACCATTTTCTCTTCCGTTAACCAAACCAAAGACTTCGGTAGACTTCGGATTGGTTAACCTAATATTCGGTTTGGATTGGTTCAGTACGCCGGTAGTACCGTAATAAAAACATACTAATAAAAATACAATTTATAATAATTTCACATAACATAAGTTCTTGAACAAATACACCTAATTATCTTTGTAAAATATAAAAATCCAATAGTATAATTCATCCAAGTATGAAATCAAATAACTTAGTCACTATATCATTCAATATATACTCAAGATGTATTGGGAGCCACTTATGTTTGTTGTTTGAACATTTGAGTGTTATTTTTATTAAATTCTCTACATTTATGTAAATGATTTTGACATTTGTTCTGCGTTGGGTTCTTTAGTTTTTCATGCTCTATCCAACTATATAAAAAAACATAAAATTTGGATCAACGGTTGGGAAATTACAAGTAGGGACAAAGGTCGAAACTGGAAAACATAGGAAATTCATAAATTCCTCTATGACCAAAAAGTGCTACAGTACCTAGGTGATAAAGAAGTGATAGAATGGTGATAAAGCAGTGATACAATGATGATAAAGAAGTGATACAGCAATGATAAATGAGGGATACACAATGCTGATTGTATTTATCTTTGGTTTCTTATTTTGTATTTAAATAGTAGAATAAGTATAAATATCGAATCAGTACGGGTTTCCGTCGGGTTAGGAATATTGTTTCTGTTAACCAAACCAAACATCTCGGTATATATTGGATCGGAATAATTAAAATTAAAAAATAATTATTTAAAAAAACCAAACCAAACCGTCGGTACGATACAGTCAATACACGGATAATTCGGATGAGATGCCCACCCCTACTTGGATGTTAAAGAAGTTCAAGCAACTGAAGGGCAGAACCCATAGCCTATAAAGACCAGATTTCACAAATAAAATAGTCTGTGATCGAAGTATTGGTTGTTCTCATAGTATATCAGGCTTAAGAATTTCCTTTAGAAATCTTAGGATACTACAGTTAGTCTTCTACTTACTGTGCAAGAGGCACTTCACTGTTCCATATTTATATTCATAAATCACAGGAACCTGATAGAAGATGAGGGTAAACATTATACGATGCCCAAAAATGCACTGAAGGAGTGCACATAGCACAGCGAGAAGAGCTTCTAATGCCTCAAGTACAGGGATTTTCACAGCAATTCGAGATGTATGGTTGCTGGGCGTTCTCCCTTCCAAACTACTAGTGTTATGCCACTCAAGAGATCCGCTTGAAGCTCCATGCTTCCTCTTTCTATGGCTAGGTTGTGGTGTTTGAAGCATTGCTTCAGCAGAAGGCTTTGAGTTTCCACTAGAAGATGCACCGCCGCTCTCACTGGCAATGGGATTTAGATCAATAAAAGCGTTGTTAACAACTTCCTGTGCAAGGCTTACTGCCATACCTGATAAGCATATGGTTCCCGATTAATAAAACTAAAAAACAGCTTCCAGGAGAAAGATACTAAATGATGGTAATACAAAAAGGGATTAGGCTTTCTGTTTCGTGCAGGACATCAAGAACAAAAGGGATTGGTGATGCAGGATGTGTATGACCTAAATTGATTAGTTTCCTAATTTATTTGTTAGTTTCCTAGGTTCTCTAGTTTTCCAAAATCTAGTAGGATTTCTTTTCCAGGTTTTAGTTTGCTATAGTTCTTTAAAATTCAGATTTGAATGTCGATTACCTTTTCCTAGAACTCTCTGATTTCTACCCTTTCTTCCGTCCCTTCGATCTATATTTTCTTCTTCTCGATCTCCGATATTTTTCTTTGTTCTACTGTTTCTTCCCTTTCTTTTGTCTTTTCGATCTATAATTTTTTCTCCTCGATCTGTTATAATCTTCTCTGTTCTATTGTTTAAGTGCTTAATCTAATACCTACAGGCTGTGCTACATCAATTAGGCTTTCTGGTCTGGTCAACATATCCATCCCTGTCTTTGCAATCTAACAGGAAGGTTTCTTTTCAGCAGGATCAAAATTAGATAAAAATATATTTTCCGAAATTACTACATACCGACACCCATGGAAATCAGCAAGCTCCTTGTGATTTAGTAGACCTTTATACTCAATTCTGGCAATGCACCTCTCTTTAAGTACACTGAAAGCAGACGCACTAAATATGCAGCATGTGGTAAAAATTGACTGCAAGGGGAGATAATAAGATGGTCAGAAAGTTAGCATTCTAAGAAGTCAAGAACCGGAAAACAAAATTGAGAAGGAAATATCTCTAAACATATACTAGGTAAGAAAATTAGAGCCTAAAAAGAGCATCTCTAGCCCTCCTAAGTTCGAAAGAACTAGGCATATTAAACTCATATTCTAGTGGAGACTCATATCAAGTAAGCATCACAAAATATTACAAGAATTAAGTATCACCAGTTAACCAAATGTTCTATTAAACAACACATCATTTGGTTCTAGGGCAGGATATACCTTGAAAAATGTAAAAGAAAACTGTGGCATTAGTGACAATTGATCTACACTCTTTGCCCCATTTTCTATCAACTTATGAGACAATTGATCATCCTTCATGGCATTAAAGCCTTAGTATTAGGCCTTCATTCAAATTTTTGGGATTCCCCATTGTAATCTTGTCTTCTGAAAAAGCAATGACCACATTGTCTGGAACTTCAGGGGAATTCATTCACATGAGGGGGGTAACTGTAGCTTAAAGCAAGCTAGCTTGAAATACATTATGGAGCACAAGCAAGATCATATGAAGCTTTTGGTTAAATGAACTATCCAATTCTTGGATGCAGCTAAAAGCAGACACAGTTCGTTATTTCATTATTTAACCTTTTTTGTCATTTTCTTTTTTTCCATATTAGACAAAATCCACACTGGCAAAAGCCAAAAATGGCAGGTCCCTGTTAATATAATTTCGAGGTAAACAGTCAACTCTGTCGAAGTTAAAACCCATACAGAAAAATAACAAGTAAAACAATTGTAAAAAAATTATTAAGAGAAAAAGTTTAGAAGAAAGAGTAGGAAAAGGTATAAGGTGTTAAGGTGTAAACAATTCTTGAATGCCCACATCAGAAACAACTCTATAATGAAAGAAAGAGAGCAAACTTGAAGAGTAAGGCCAGCCTTCCAAGCAAACAGGACTTTACCTTCAGCATATTAACAGTGCATTTTCCTGACAAGTTTTTTGAAGCAATAACATCCTCAGCCTGCATAAAGCATACAATTAGAATCCATTAGCAAGCGAGGTCTAAAGTTTTTGTAAGGAAGGAGGAGCACTTATCATTTTTAGAGTTGTTTGGACAGAATCATTGTAGGTAGAAGATGAGACAGTTTCTTTGAACGAACCTGTTTACCAGGATTGATTGGACTTCCCTTAGTCCATTTGTGGTATATAATTAGTTTAGAAATTTTTGTTCACTTGAAAAAATAAATAAATAAAAATTCGACATTTCTGTTTTTTTGTGTTGTTTTTACACTAACACGTTGCAGGCTTTCACTTTGGATGTCAATTCTCAGGTAACGCTACCCTCTTCTTTTTATTATGCTTATATGTTTAAACATTGAGGACAATGTCAATCTTTGGTTGGGGGTGGAGAAGATGTGTTTATTGTATTATTTTCTTGTTGCAACATGTTAGTTTTCCTTTCATTTTTGTTTTTGTTTTTGTTTGGTTTTGTTTTTGTTTATTTTTGTTTATTTTCGTCATTTATTTAAATTGTAAAAAAATATTTTAAAAAAAACTGAAAAGTGTGAAGAAAAAAAAATGTTTATGAGGTTAGTGCACTGTGTTGTTTGTTTTTCACAGTCTGTCTGTGATAAGATTACATTGCACTTAGATTTATTTGATATTCATGAATGATTTTAAGATTGAGAACATATGAATTATATGATAATTATCCCACTTTTGTGTCTTTTTCATTTATTTCTAGTTAGTGGATGATTCATGAGTTATACTTTGACAATTTACACAAGCACACTAACACCTTTTGTGGGGTATAAAGTTAAAAACCAATTGTGCTTAATCTTTTGTCTTTGGTAAACTTGGACGACCTTGCTTTTGACTCATCTTGGTTTAAAATAAAAAGTTCATGAAATAATAAGTGTAATAATAAAATAATAGGGTCTCTACTAATCTTCTAGTAGTACCGGGCCTCTGCCTAATCAGCAGTGAGTGTTTGCGTCAAACGGTGAAGTTCTGGGTGTGAATAATTTTGTGTGGCTAGTTTAGTTTCGTAGCCTTTTTAACTCGAGTTAGTAAGCTCTTAGGGGTGTCTCTACACCTAGTGCCTTAAAGCCTTTTTGGTTTGAGAGTCGCTAGCCTAACACTCGCTATATGGGTTAATTAGAAAGCTTAATGGAGCTAAGCATTGCACAGCCCACATAAAGAAAAAAATAGTATATTAAAAATAAATATAAATAAAAATAAAAACCTTGGTTTGTTTCTCGCAAGGGAGTTCAACAACTCTTGAGATCAAGAGGTTGGTGTGATTGGAATTTAGCTAATGCCGCTCAATTGTGTTGGTTCACTTTACACCAAAGGAAACATGTGAAAATTTTGCTAGCTAATTATAAATGATTTGATTTGGGACTTCGAGGTGGGATTAATTTGAAATGTTAAATAAGTGTTCTCTCTTTTAACGTTGTTCATGAATTGAAAATTTGGACTTTGTGCTTTGTCCTTTTTGTTGGTGACATATGTTGAAATTATTTTCCAAATTTTATTTTATTTCATGATTCTGAATAATTGTGCTAGCCTCATACTTGATGTTTGTGGGTATCATCCCTGGAAACCCTCACGAGACTACAACTCGTCCTTTAGGGGTAACCTAAGGGTTTAAAGGCTTGTTGCATACGCTAAATGCAATCGTATCCCGCGAAAGTGGTTAAGCTGTTTTATTTGTTTTTTTTCTTTTTGTCATTTTTACTTAAATTTGAGTTTCTTTTAGTCGCTTGAATAGCTAGGGACTAGCAATAAGCTGGTTGGGGGTTGTGATGAGAGTCTCAAATTACATATTTTTTACTATTATTTTGGAGACTTTATGATATAATTTTGGCTTAATGAATATAATTTCATTTGTTGTTACATTTTATTCTCACCAACTGGATTTATGAATTTTCTATATTAATTTGGTGAACTTATTAGGTGAATTTATCTTCTGTAGGAAGTTGGAAAGCCAAAAGATGAAGACATACATTTGTCCAAGTTCAAGCTAGGTGTGAAGAGAATTGCTGGCAGATTTAATTGAAGAATTGATTGTGGGATTATTGTGATTATAAAGAGAAGTAAAGAGGGAGAAGAGAAGACAAAACCGTTGAAGCTAAAGAGCCTATTTTATGTCATTCATAGCCATTTAACACCCACTTACCTCACCGTTATTTCTTTTCCACTAACTCTTCACCATCAACACATGTTTAATCCAATTAATCCCTCAATTAAACCCTTCATCACCCACCATGAATGTATTAACTTCCCACTCACCTCATTGACTACTATAAATCACCCATCAACTTATTTGGCAAGGGCACCCCTACGACAGATTTCTTTATCCATTTAGTTTATGTTTTCCTTTGTAATGAGTTGCTAGAACTCTAGCTAAGGCTAAAGGGAATGTTCTTTGAGTAAGTTTGTGAATTGTTCTTTAATCCAATATACGGTATGAATTGCTAAATTCTTTTATTTTTGGTTGTTCAATATTTTCATATCCTTTTATTTTGATTGATGTTAAGTGCTATTATCTTTTCATGAGTTCAATTATATTTTTCTCATTGTTAAGAACTGACTTGGCATGCTTTTAAATTAAAAGAGTAGATATTAAGCAACTCCACTTTCTGAACAATCATTAATAAAAGATTACATTGAAAAATTAAATTGGTTTTAATTTCTTTATCTTCCGGTTAAAGTTTCTCAATGATGATTTTAATCGAGTTATAATTTGGATTAAAGAGCATGAAACATATTTTGTTTAAAGAATTGAACCTTGATGCCTCAACATTTCCATTATTGATATTTCATTTTTAAACTCAATTTTCCACAACAATCAAATCAAATTACTTTTCCATTTTACTTGTCACTTTTATTGTGGTACGTTTAATTATTTCTTTGTGTGCAGATATTTGCCTACCTGCTCCTTGAGGATACAATACTTGGACTTCCAAGATTATTACTACGTGTGACTACTTGCACTTGGGTAGACGCAACAAGTTTTTGGCGCCGTTGCCGGGGAGCGGTGAAGCGAAAAGTAGCACAAGGAACTAATTCAGCCGGTGGAACTAATTCAGCCGGTGAAGCGAAAAGGCATCGACAGTGCCGAGGTTCAGCCGGTGGAACTAATTCAAGGCAGCTTCTGTAAGAGTGGAAGGAAAAAGGAGCCACATGCCCTCATCACTAAGGCCCTTTCATCCTAGGGCGAACTGGAAGGAGTGGATGTGGGTCAGGGGGTCTTCACTACCAATGTAGAAGGCGATGTGTGGGGGTTGGACGTTCTTCTACTAACGATAAGAGGATGCGCTTGGTAAACAGGCCAAGGCATGGCTTTGTCTAGAGGGGCCAATGGCTGCGTCATCACTCATCTTCGAGGCGGCAAACCTTCTCAAATAATTGTCGCATAGTAGGATGGTACAAGGAAGGGTGTTGGATGCCAAAGATTGGTGGTGCCGAATAGTGGTGATGGATAAGTTTCTCATTCCTTAAAGGCTTCAAAATGGTAAGGCTTCTAGTCGTAATGGTTATAAGATTCCAAATCTTCAGAATCACCAACCTCCTGGGCAAGGAGACGTTTGGGCTTTGGCAAAGGGCCAAGGTGAGCGACACGTGAGTCGTCGAGATCTACTAAAATCTGAATGGGTTTTGGCAGAAGCTCAGAGATACGACCCTTACAATTCTTGTATACCTTGGTTGGGGCACGAGGTTGGTCCCTAGGTGGGGAAATTTGGAGAGGTCGTGACTTAGTTGCTTTAGGATGAATATGGCCTTTTCCTTCGTCAGGCCTAGGCCACGTTGGGGTGCTATGAAAGGAGATTTCTAGTTGATTCAACAAGGTATGCTCGACACCTTGGA